TTATTACGATAAAAATACCAGTTTAGAATAGAATAAACTTGACTTCCTATTGAAGTTTTGACGTCACAGTAAATATTGAAGCACGATATGATGGATTCGTGTGAATTACGATGATTACGCTTGGGTGCAAGCCTTAATAATATCTGCTCGGTTTGGTAAAGAAATGTTTCAACTGAGAGGGTAAAACTTTTTTCCACTTGACTGCTTTAGACAAAGTTGAGCGACCTTCACGACATGGTAACCAGTTTACATATGCCGATCCCCACAATCTCTACGGCTCATCGTCCCGGCTGGGACATAAGGTCATTACAGATCACTACAGAATAAAAACTAAAATGTCGAAGATGACCTGTATTAAACATGAATGCAGACTGGTATTATTATTACATCGATCACCACCATTTTGGTTCCTAGGGCCGCTCGTTCCTCTTCGCCGGCAGGACCACTTACGATGGCTCTGTAGACGTATGATCTCATTGGCCTGATTTTTGGACTAACATTTTCGCTAATTCAACGCGGATTTGCATGCTTCCCGGAGATATCCACTGGTTGATCTCTAATTCTAAAATCGTGCCATACCTTCAGGAAGTTTAAAATTGGCTTACGTAGAGAATTCAGAGAAGACCTTCATAGTGAAACACATTGTTATAATCTGGTGAGGTCTGCAGATACTCCATCGAGCGGTACATTATATTACTGCATATCTGACCTGTCTAGCGTTGAAATGGGAATGAATCCAAGTTACCTTACATAATATGTATTTTCCATATTTGAAATTCTTACCCGACTCATTACCAGAATCGATCAGACATACTGAGAACTAAATAATAACTGACTGCAGAATCTTTGGGAAATAAAAGTTAGACTTAATATTTCTTCCAATTAACAGTTTTTCTATTAAGATTGAAGCGCAGTCAGGATGAGACAAAATTAAAAATTACGATAAAAACGAAAGCTCATGTTCTTTTTGAAATGTTTTAGCCAGCGAACGTTTTTATCGTAATTTTTAATTAAGTATTTTTTTTGTTATCATTTTGTTATCTTCGCATATAACCTGGAAATAGGTCAGACTATCTCCTTTAGATGTTATACAAAACGGTGCGGTGCGTTAATCGTCCTAAGTTGATGGTAAAAAGTAAGGTTTACATGCATCACTATCACCAGTTCAATCTCTGTCGGAATTTAATTTCCAGTGTTCCTCTTGAAGAGTCACTGAGGCAAAAACAAACACAAGAATAAAGGTCCCTTCTCGGAGAAACCTGTTATAACCGTTTCACTTGGTAAATTAAGACATTATCTTCAGTTACATCTGACTGTCGCCGGTACCCATTTATACTCCTGGGTGGAGAGAGGCACTGTGAGAGTTAAGTGTCTTACCCAAGAACACAACACCGTGTCCCCGGCCAGGACTCGAACCCGGACCGCTCGCTCCGGGGACGAGCGCACTAACCATGAGGCCACCGCGCCTCCCAATTGTTGGGGAAACCTAACAGATTGCGGGGAAGTGACCTGCGATGGACTAGCATCCCGTCCAGGGGGACTAGAAATACTCCTAGCCACTTCATGCTACAGAAACCGGGATAAGCTGCGGCAGCTATGAGCCATCGGTTCCAAGGCTTCACTCAGACATCTGACTGTAATCAGATACAATATTATCCCGCTTTATATCAGAGGTGAGTCTAAGCAGACATCATTTTGAAAATACCTTTCATATCGGTTGCTCAATGTAACTAAAGCATGCATTTTTTGAATAGAGCTTCCTAAAAGTTCAGACTTCTTCTCGGTCGAAGTTTCACCGGCACATCATGGATCAAGATAAAAATAAACTAAAAGGGCGCTTCTCGGAGATTCTTCGATGCATCCTATATGTAGCTGTGGTGATTTTCCTGATGTCTTGCATCGCCATCTTGTTTTTGGAACAGCAAAAAATGAAACAAAGATTGACTGCAATCGATGACAAAATAAATACATTGGAGCGGACACTCCGGTATAACAACGACAGAGATAAACGACTTGAAGCTAAAGGTTTGCTTGTCAGGGAGAAGAGAGCATTGGCTTTGAGTCTTGAAGGCCTCGAGAAACGACTGAAAGTTCTAGAATTCAGGTGAGATTTTTTTCCTCTTCTCAACATGCGGAACTGAAGGTAAACTTCAGCCGTGAAAACGTCAGTGCGGCCTTATTATATGGAAAATTCCATGCCATTCGTTTTTTGTTAGGCTATTTAGATAAGTATGGTTTTCAATTCATACAAATACCCGATAGACCGAGATCTTGCTCTCTTATCAGTGCTTGATGATCAAGATATACAGGAAGTTAAAATTATGAGTTAGATGACTTGTACGTGTCTAACTTTCTGGGGCGAATCCAGGATTCGGTGAAGGGGGGTTCGGAGAATTCTAAGGGGTCCGAGG